GAGAGGTAGAGCTCAGACCCAGGGTGTGGCAGCCTTTTCCTAGCATCCCACCATGAATCAATCCCATGTCACATCCTTGATCCCAGCACCACACACCCTAGATCCAGCCACCTCTAAAAGTCCCATTATGACCAAAGTCCCATTTATGAGGCTTTGGGGGGACATCTACATATAAGCCATGACACTGACTCTAAATATTTCATGTGAATGAATAATTTCATGAGAGAAGGAAGCAATGAAGGAAATTTGCATAGTTCAGAATGTTCTCCTTTACATAACCTAATTTTTTAAAAACATAGATAAACATGTTATTCTGTCATAAGATTGCATATTCAGTGGGTAATTTTAACTTCTCTACCACAGTGTAGAAGTACAGAAGAAATGTAGTTTGAAGTTTTTATTGTTTTTGTTTTATATATCAAGTTATATATCAAGGGGAAAAAACAAGAGTTAAGAGTGAGGATTTGAGAAACACTTCATTTACCAGGTACTCAGAGGGAGAAAGATGTGGAGGTCTTAGAACTCCAAAGCTGGAGAATATTTCTAAAGAGGTTTCATTGGGAAGATGAAATAAACAGGAGGTGATGTAAGAAAACTGACCAAGTTCCATATCAGAAAATGCACATTCACATAGCACCAACTGCATTCTAGGGTGCCTGGGGCATGCAGAGATATGGCAGGGAAAATGAAGGTTAATGAGATGTATCAGACTTACCAAGGGGGAAATTTCAACTCACATTTTGAAGAAGGCAATGTATCTGAAGTAGACTGTAACCTGGACCCATTCTAAATAGACAGAATAATAACATAGAGGGGCAAAATTAGGACAAGTTAAGTACAGGAAATGAGGTGAACAATCAAAATGGGATGGAAAAGTGATTCTGAGAAAAAGGTTAAAAAACATAAGATGCAGTTAGCAGGATAGGAGGTGGATGGAATAGCAGCAGACTACCCATACTTGCATGAGAAAGGCAAATTATATGCTAAACAAGAGGAATCCCTGGAAAAGTCTTAAGGAAAATGGTTGCATGGATTAAATATACTTTACAGGTTTAAAAAAAAGTGCTGGGTAAACTGAAGAATGCAAGAGATTATTTCTTTCTGCCAAATGGCAACAGTGAATGCCTCCAGGAGTCTGCCACCATCACTGTTGGGATATAAAAGGGCCCAAGAGAAAATGAAAGATGTATTTCAGATATAGCCCCAGAAAAAAATATAATGGAATCTAATAATGGGTTATCTCTGCTGGAGTCAGAGAAAAGAGAACAACTAAAATAAATCTATGATTTTTGAGTCCAGGGAACCAGGAAGAAGCTACAATGGAAAATGACCAAATATTGTGAATTTCCAAACTAATGAGTTTTTACTGAGCACCATCTTGTAGAGGGCACAGCCCTAAACATTATGTGTGGATCAAAAATATATAGGGGCTAGCATTATTTTCTTGCATAACTACTGGGCAGTGGGATTCCTGGTAGTATGTGCAATGACTTTTGTTATGGTTTGTATCAAGATGTCCCCCCAAATCCTCATAGAAGGGGCTTTTGGGAGGTGACTGGGTCATGGAGGTGTGATACTCATCAGTGGATTAGTTCACTGAGAGTTTATAGCTAAGTGTGATCTTGGGAGGTAGAGCCTGGTTGGAGGAAGTGGAACACGGGGTGCATGAACTGGAAGGGTGGATCTCCCTCCTCCTCCCTTGATCTCTGTCTCCTTCCTGATGGCCATCCCATGAGCTGTTTTTTCCTCTACCAAGCCCCTCCCGTGCTACCCTGCCTTGGAGCCAGCCATCTAGATTTGAAACCTTGACAAACGGTGAGCCAAAATAAACCTTTCTTCCTTAGAGTTGGGGTATCAATTATTGAGTCTCAGTAATAAGAAAAGTAACTAAGACAAGTTTATATATGCATATGTAATAATAAACTGTCACTACAATAGTGAGAAAGATATAACTCCAAGACTAACCCTCTGATTTGAATTTTTATTTACTATAGTGCCTCAGTTATTCCAGGAAGAAGTTTTTGTACTTCATGCCTTAAATAGCGCGCTCCTTATACCATGTTACATAGAAATCTTGAAACTAACACTCTGATGTACCTTTCTTTACAGAACTGGAAATAAGTATCCAACCCACAGCTATTATATAACCCATACTTTAAAGTAATTAGAACAAACAGGCAAATCAATACAAGGTCTTGTATTTACAAAATCACTGGCTACATAGTCAATACAGTTTCTTGTGAAATAAGGACAAGCCACAATGACATTTTAGTGGGATTTTTTTTTTACATAACTTGAATTCTTATTTCTTTGTGCTTACTCTGGTGAAAACACCACATAATATTTAAGAATATCAGCAAAGAATATGATTTTCCTCTTGCCATTGTGTTTGTATTCTAAGCTTTGTTCAAATCAACTACTCTGTGGTAACTGAAATGTCTGAAGCTTCAGTAGCTCTATTTTTAGCAACAAGGTAAGCTATTCCCATACCCTGAACTTCTCCAAATGTTAAAAGTTGCTAAATGTATCTCATTAACACCAGAATTTGCTTTTGACTTTTGCCTCAAATTATGTAGTTTCTTATGGTCAAGTCCTAGAGAGGATTCACATTCACTTCTTCTGTGAATGGCTTGCTAAGATAAAACTCTCATTTGTTTGTAAATTTAGCTAGTTGTGGTTGAACAAATACAGGAACTCCTATAATATACATATTATTCAGTCCTGGAGCCGTGTGGGGGAGGAAAAGCAGTAGTCACCATGATAGAGCTTGATAAATGTTGTGACTGCAGTTGATGAGCTACTGAGACAAGGAAAAGATGCCAGTTGTCCAGTCCAGGTACACAGGAGCCATGGTTTGACTCAGAGTTTAATGGCCACTGCGAGAGCATGAGAACATGGCACTTTTAAGAGGTAGGTAGGTCCTGGGGAACCTTCCTCTTGAACACATTGAGGCCAGTACTGTTATGGTTTAAGGCCACTGTGGGCTTGTTAGGGAAGGTAGAAGCTGCCCCTACCTGTCCTTCTTTCACACACCCTCACCAGGTGATGTCCTTCACCCTGTGATGACGATGCTGGGACTTCCCAGCCTCCATAACCATGAGCCAAAGAAATTTCTCTTCTTTGCATATTATCCACTCTGAGTGAGGCATTGTGCTGTGGCAGAGAAAATGGATTACAATGGCAAGTGAGTGAGGACTGTCGTGCAGAGCCCTGCACAGGCTAAGCTGGGCCATGCAGGGTGAGTAAAGGGAGTCGGGAGTGCCTCACGGGCAGAGTGGGATCACACCACAGGGAATTGTGTGTAGTTGGCACCTAGAACATAAGGCAGACAGTGGCAAATAGTGAACTTGGAGAGCTCCACAGCCAGCAGATTAGCATGTAACTTGCTCCCATGCAAGAGGTTCAACTCTACCCAAAGGGTGCCTGGTGACATGATTAGCTTCACGCCAGAGAAGATCAGCCTTGTGAGATTTACTTGGAAGAACTAAGCGATGGATCCCTGGGATCCATTAAGAAGCTGTTAGAGCAACCCATGGAGAAATGTTGAAGCCTGAACAAAGATTGTTCCAATGGGATGCTGAGAGAAAGATATACTCAACAGCTGCAAAGAAAGGAGAATCAAAAGAAATCTAATTGTTTCTGGCATAGAAACCATCAGATCATTTGTCCTCAGCATTGACTTTGCCCTGAGTTTACCTTAGATTTACTTATTTATGTTGATACATATTTTCTGTTTCTTAAATGATTAAGTCAAATATTGCACTGCCATGTTTTGTCCTGTTAAGCAAACATTCACAAGTTTGACACTTTGGACAAATGTGTTAGGTATTTGCTTGCCCAAGACATTTCTTTACATATAATTGACTGTCACTGGATCATCATTGCCCATTGTTTAAAACAAATCTACTACCCTAAAACAGTTTCAATAATGGAGATTACTCCAAATAGAAAAATATTATCAATATTTTGGAGAACTCTCCAAAATTCATGCTTCCCCTAATATGAAACTACATAATTTTTGAAGAAATTAAATATGCAGAAATCCTTAAAAGAAAACATTTTTAAAAATCCTATCAACTTTGCCTACTATTTGAGTAAAAAGATGGACCGATCTTCACTATGTAGAACCTACCAACAAAAAATCAACAAAGTCTACACGGATTATTTTTAAAGCAATTGAGAAACGTCATACAGGATAAACTAAGATTGCAGATTCATAGAATTTTGTAGCCTAAACAAGTTTTCAAACAAAAACATTTCATAAAGAATAAAGCCAGAGCTTGTTTAAATTTAAAGAGTCAACTCAGAAAACATATTCAAGAGGCTAAGAATGTGATTTAAAGTATGCTATATTGTAAAATTATGTTCATGTTTAATTCAGTATAAGCAGTTAATTATCCTGGCAACTGTTAATTACATGCTTCCTTTTGGGTAAAGAAATTATCTCTTCTACCTCAGGAGTAATTGTAGGATCACCTTCTGGCTTAACATTTTATGTGTGTGTGTCTGTGTGTGTGTGTATGAAAAGCAGAAACCTACCTCAAAGTAGTATGAGAAATTACACATAACAATGGCAAGAAGGATAGAAGGATTGCTCATATTACTAAAATGTAATATAATTTACTATAGGGCTTGAGCTGATGTAGACCCAACAACATTAAGACTTCACTTCTCCACCTTAGCCCTCCTCTAGATAGGTTTTTCCTTCTGCCCATCAGCCCAACAACCCAGCAAAGAGAAACAGAGTCTCCTTCTCACTAGTTATGGAAAGTAGCTCTTCTTAGCCTCACCAGGGGACAGGTCATTTAGTTTCCCTTTCTTGCCCTGCATAAGGACAGTGTGTTCGGCCTGGATTAGCCTCTGTGCTCTGAGGGAGGAGAACCGATCCGCCGGGTCTGGGTCCTATCCCCACTCCTCACGCGCAGCCCAGAACCCCTGCGCTGACCCTCGGGGAAAGGTGACCCCACGGTAAGTTGAGGCAGTATGACCAAGAACAGGAGGAGTGGGCAATGGCTAAGCAAGAAGAGCAGACATTCTCTACACCATGACTCTGTGCTTCTCTGATTTTCTTGCGGCCTCTCCCCTTGTGTGGCAGCCCACACTCACTACAGGTGCAGAGGCAGCTGTCTGCGGCACCGCATCAAACTTCAACGGACTGAGAGTCTGTGTCCCGATACTTACGGGCTGCAACCTTAATCCCAACATGATGGTATTTGGAAGTAATTGTGTCATGAGGGAAGTAAGTAGCTCACAATCTCTCATAAATGGAATTAGTGCCAAGAAGGGGGGTCGGTCTTAAATACAGGAAACTGTGTCATCTGTGACATCATAGATGGCACTGAAGCACATTCTACCAAGTTAAGTAAGCTGCACACAGAATGACAAATATTATGTGATCCCACTATATGTTGAATCCAGAAAAGTTAGTCTCACAGAAATGGAGAGTAGAAAGTCAGAGACCAGGAGGGGAGAGGGAAGACAGGGGATGGGAAAAGGAACAAGGGTGATCAAACATTAGAAAATTTCAGTTAGGTGAGAAGAATAAGTTTTAGTGATTCTATTGTGGACTGGTCAGATTTTATAATAATGAATTATATATTTCAAAACTCCTAAAAGACTAAATTTTTAAAATGCTAACGACGAGAAAAATAAATAAGTTGCTAAAGGGATATGCATATTAATACATAGACCAAGTCATCCCACTACAAATCATAAATACAAACAAATATTATTTGTCAGTTAAAATAACTAAAGTGTTTTTAATTACCTGTCTCTGCCCCACACTGACCTAGTGGTTCTATTAGACACAGGATTATACTTTCCCACACACTGAGGCACCTGCTATTTACCTGGGTCACAAGAAGCATGAGACAGCATGGATGGGAAGTGTGCAAGTGATTGCTGCAGGAAACAGACTTGGAAGGAAATCTGGGAGAGGCAATGCAGCACCCATCCTCGTAAGTGAGAAAAGCGTGGCTTAAGCTTTGAGAGGTGATGGAGACGGGTGTTAAGTGGAAGGATTAATCTAAGAAGAGGGGACATGGCAGGCAGCGGCCCCTGACCTTTGCAAGCGTGGTTATTATTATGGTAGACTATTAGCAACAGGCACTTTTGCTTTGAAAGCTTTCAATATTCTCTCTGGCTGGAACTTTTAGCTCTTTAAGTATGATATATTTTGGCTTATGTAACACTGGGTGTATCGTAGAAGTGCTGAGCTCTCTGAATCCGGATTTCAATTTCCTTCTCCAGGCTTGGGAAGTCTTCTGTCATTCTTTCTTTCTTTCTTTCTTTCTTTCTTTCTTTCCTTTTTTTTTGTTTTTTTGGTACTTGGGATGGAACTCGGGTCCTTGCACTTGTGAGGCAGGCAGCAAAACCACTGAGCTAAATCCCCAGCCTGTGATTATTTCTCTGAATATATTCTGTGTCTGTGTGTCTGTGTGTCTGTGTGTCTGTGTGTGTGTGTGTGTGTCTCTCTCTCTCTCTCTCTCTCACCCTCCCCTACTTCTAGCACTCCATTAACGTACATGTTATTCCACTTTACGGTGTCATGTCTGTCACTCGGGCTGTCTCCTCTCTTTTCACATACTATTTTACTTTTGCTGTCGATATTGAATGATTTCCAATGAGCTGCCCACAAGTTTGCTAAACTGTCCTGTGCTTGAGTTTGCTGATGCTTTCTTCCACTTGAGCTAGTCTGCTGTTGAACCCCTCTACTGAATTCTTAAGGTGAGTTGCTGAATTTCTCAGCTCAAGGATCTCATTCCTGACGACTCAGCTCCGTATTGTCTGTCTCTGAAGTTCTCACTTTGTCCCTGCGTCCCTCTCCTGACATCACTGAGTAACTTTATGACTGTCATTTTGAATTTCGAGTCAGGTAGATTTGGTATCTCCTTTTCACCAGGGTTGGCTTCTGGAGATTTAGTTTGTTCTCATATTTGGAGCATATCTCCCTAGTTCTTCATTTCCCTTGACTGTATTCTGGGTTCTACTCACTAGATGAAAGAACCCTCTTCATCCAGTTTTGCTAGACTCATCTCCTGTAGATGCTCTGCCTCAGTCACCTACCCACAGAGCTAGGTGCCCCCAAACCCTGCTTGGCCATTCTGCCATCTTCACCTTCAGTGGCCTCCCATAATTAAACAATGTCAAACCGTGCCATTGCCTTGAGAGAGGTAGACCAGAAGCCGGTCCCTTTTGATGCACTGGAGAAGTCAAAATGTCTGATGTCTGTCCCAGTTCCTTCTTCCTGTGCAGAGAAGCCAGGAGGCATAGGTTATAGGTGCCCTCTTATTCTGCTCCACACTAACTTTGATCCAGCTGCTCACTGTGAGCCTGCCAAGATAGCTGCTGAATGTGTGCACATTTAAAAGCCATCTTTGTGTTCCGTGTGGTGCTAGAGACTCGCAAGTGCAGAGCTCCATTAACCCCCAGAGGTAGGTGATTTAGGAGCCAGTCCCACAGGAGAAGGACTGCAGGAATCGTGCACTGGACATGGGCAGAAACCACACTGGCTTTATTACTGTAGCAAGCTAGGGAGATAGCTGTGGAGGGTCCAGACTTACTTTGACAAGAAGTCTCAGACCTTCCCAGCAGGGAGACCTCTGGGCAATGCTAAAATAAGCCAGGGCACAAAATGCAGGAAAGAAAGTGCAGGCAGGGGCTGCCTATCTTCCCTTTCAGGCACTGAGGGGTCTCCCTGCCTCCTCCTGCTGAGTGACTGCAGAAAATAATCTCTAGGGCAAGTGGAAGAGAGAGGAAGGTGCAGAGAGCACTGTCCCTTGTATTCCTGCTCCCAGAGGCCTGGGATCGCTTTATATGGAGAGATGGCAGGGCCGGGGCTGGCACGGGAGCTGAGAGCCCACTGTCCCTGCAGGTGAGCAGATCTCCTGAGGGCCTCGCTCTGTGGTTCCCATGGAAGCAAACCTGGAGAGAGGGCACAGGCAGTGGTCACTTCCCCTTCAAGCAAAGCCCCATCTTCCGGTCTCCTTCAACTCAAAGACCGCAGAATTTGTCTGCGCATCAAGATGAGGGAGAGGGTTTGGGAAGGCCTAGCTCACCCGTTCTCGTGGACAAAGGCCTCCAACCTCTTCCCCAGAAGAAATCATCCGCAGAGTAAGCCAGGTATGAAGAAGGAGGGAAGGGACCCAGGGAGTGCAGTCTTTGCTTGCTGAGAGCTCTGAGAGGAGCCCAGCAGGGCCAGGAACTGCTGGAAAAGCACGTGGCCAAACCAAGGCAGAGTGCTGGGAGCTGGGCCGGTCCTCAGCGCTGAGGGCGCTGGGAGGGCTGGGAGTCCAACCCCGCCTTTGCTGTCTGCGCTTGCAGGGAACCCTTGATGCATTGACCTTGCCGTCCCTCAGGCTCACTGAGTTCCTAAAGAGCCAAACCCTGCAGCATGCAAAAGCTGTGACCATGGAAATAGCTGGGACTTGGGATTTCCTTCCTCATTAGGAAGTGGTGGGCAGGCACATGAGGATGTCCACCCTCTCCCCCACTTTGATGTGGACTCACCCCGCGAGCCAGGGTGTCTTCGCTGCAGCACAGCTTCCTCTCAGAGAAGGCACAGGCCACTTTTCTTCCATGCTGCTGATGTCTCCCAGACCATGCTGACCTCACAGCTCCTGCTGATTAACTGGTGTTCCTTCGGGGCACTGGAAGGGTGCAGAGATGTGAACTCTGGGCATTTTTCAGTGTCTGTGTGCCATCAGCTGGGACTTCGGAATCTTCGGCTGTAGTGGATCTAACCAAAGTGCCTGACTCAGAGTCCAAAGAATGGAAAATGTACAGACGGATAGACTCAGCCCTACTTCCTCAGATCAGGAAGCAGGTAGATTCGAGGTCAGAGTCCCCCTTCCTGGTTCACAGATGGCCATCCTGTGTCCCCACATCTGGAAGGGATGACACCTTCTGGTGACTCCACTCGTGAGGAGGGTTAATCATCACGACGAAATCACCACCAGAGGCACCTCTTCCCAACACGATCACACAGAGGGTGAAGATTTAGGAGAGCCACAGACATTCCACTCCTTCACAGGACCCATAAATGGCCCCTAAATCCTGCCAGTGGATCTGTAGTGCTTGCATGATTTTTGCCTTCTTCGGTAAATTTGTTAAGCGGAAAGTAGCACAATGCTCTGTGGGAACCAATGCTACCTACTAAACCTTTTCCATGTCAAAAGGCAATAGGTGTGGTTGAGAAGGACAGATGCTTGGTTTAGATTACAGGATATCTTAATTTTTTTCTACAGAAACAAACTTTGGAACATCTAAGAAATAGACATGTAATTTATTGGCATTATTATAAGCACCTCCCCCTTTCTCTCTGTAACCTATCCCTGTCTCTTTCAGTGGTTACCTCTTTCATGGAACTAATCTCTCTCAGCTCTTTGCACACTTGAAGATCCTACCATGAGAGTTGAATCTCATTTTTTTTTCCTCTAAGGCTTTACCTGTACTAATTGTACCCTTCCAACTAAATTTTAAGCTGCCTTGGGGCAAGGATCGCATCCAATCCATTCTTTTTTTTTTTTCTTAAATTCTTTTCTTGGTACATTTTAGGTATACAATACATTTACATTTATTATTGGGTGCTTGTACCTGTACATGATGTATCTTGGTTCTTATTTTTTCCTCATTACCTGTGCGCCCTTCACCCCTAAACCCTTCCCTATTTACATACTTTGTTTCCATTTTTTTTTCATTTCTCATAATTTTTCCTTTCCATTCTTTCCTTTCCTCATCTCCTCCCACCACCCCTACGCCTTTGGACCTTTTCCAGTTTCAAAGTATCATTTATTAGTTATTAATCCTTTTAGCCCTTCTTTACACTCTCAGTCTCTCACACTAGAGAAACTATTTGGTATTTACACATGTGTGTCTTACTTACTTCACTTAAGAGTATGGCCTCAATATGCATCCATTTAGCTATAAATGACTCTAGTTTCTCATTCTTTATGGCTGAGTAGTACTCCATTTTATAAAAAAAACACATCTTCTTTATCCAGTTTCCAGTTGATGGGCACTAAAACAGCATGGTACTGGCAAAGATCCAATCCATTCTTTATCTAGGACAGCAGTTAGCAGCCTGCTCAGTTTACCGAGGGCTCTGAGAAGAGACAGTTAGGTTGGTTCACTAATTAAATCACACTGAAATTCTAAATCTGTAGTTCAATTCACTTGTTTCTGTGTAGTTCCGTACCCAAGTCTGTAGTTCTCTTTTTTAACTATAGGACTGGCCTTTAAAACGAGACAATTATGTTACAGAATGTCAGTTGTGATGTGAGATCTCTGAATAAAAAAACAAACAAGCCAATGACTTCCTTTAATTAGAAAGCAAGCCAATGACTTTCTTTAATTAGAAAGCCCATGAATCACCAGGTTGCCCTTCAGAAATATGGGATTTCTGCTGCTTGCATGCTCCCAAACTGATATCTCATTAGGCTCCCTGTCACTTCTGTATCTGCTTACTCCCAGGAGGACAGTGATAATACAGTGACCTGAAATAATTGCCACGTAAGTTTGCTTCTGATGCAAGTTCAGTCTTTGCTGAGAGATGCCCAGAGCTCGGCTGGCTCCACTGACAGCAGCAGGCAAGCTTCTCTTTTTCTGGCCCAGGAAAGAGGGGTGAGGACAGGCTCAGGAAGACAGGCCTATGGACTCCCCCTGCCTTCTCGCTGCTTCCCCCAGGCATGAGGCCAGGGCTCCGGCTAGGGAAGAGATGGATCAATGTTTCACTCTCCTGAGAAGGCTGAGGATGCTGGGGTGGCTGGCTGATGGCAGTGGCCATGGCAGGCCAGGGAGCAGGCCTGAGGGGACTGTCCTTCACCAAGAGAGTGACAAAGTGGGCAGAGGGCAAAGTGGCTTCAGAAGGGCAGAGGGCAGAGGGCTACTGGATTAGAAATCGCTCAGTAAGAAATGCAAACTCCCAAGTAATGACTATTGAACGCAAGAAGCACACAAGAAAGAGGGGAATGATAAAGAATTGTAAAAATATTCACGTGCAAGGGTTTCTTCTTTTTAGCAAGGCTTCTTGAATATTTTCTGCCCTGAGGCTCCCTGGGACCTGAGTCTTTATTGTGGATGATTTGTTTGTTTGTTTACACCTTCCGCAGGCCAGCCCTGGGCAACACTCTGACAGCAGGACTCTGAGCTTCCCTGTCCTCCCAAGGGCCTATATCTAGGCTTGCACTGAGCTTCCTCAGTGACCTCCCTGTGCCCAGGGGACACCCAGCCCTGCACTGGAAGCCAGGTGGATGTGCCCTTCACCCGTGGCCTTCTCCTGACCATGTGGCGGCCTGGTAACCCTGTTCCCTGAGCCTGCCTGAATGAGTGAGGACCAGCTCCATTGCTACTAACAGAAAAATGCATGAGCTGCTAACCCAAAAGGAGAATTGATCATAAGGATCCAAGAGTGTTTCATATATTTCAAGGGCTCAGGGCTGCTTGGCTTCAAACAGAGACTGGAACTGCTGATGATCAGCCTCTCTCACAGGTTTCTTTGCTGCTTCTCACAGGAAACGTGGTTTTATTAATTTCCTTTTTCCTCTGTCTTTACGAAATGCCTCCTCCATGAGTCCATATGGCAAACAAACAAATTTTAAAAAAGCAAAACAAACGTGAAACAAAAGCAAATAAGCACGACTCGCAGGGAAGCCCACATTACTCAGCCAGCCATCTCTAGTGAGATTTTTTTGTGTATTTGAAACTTCAAACGCCCCCTCAGAGGATTGTTGACAGGGTTTTATCATGGGGCCTCCCTGCCCCAAGAAGGCGAATGCAGACCAATCCTGCGACCACGTGCAAGGGGAGAAGCAGGTCCTACAAAGAGGGCAAAAAACCAGAAAGCTTCCTCTCTTCTACCTTCGTCTACCAAGACCTGGTGCTGTTCCCAAGTGCATGCCTGACCTGTGAGCTGATTAGGGCTTCAATCCTGTCACTGATCAGCGATCAGTGTCTCAGCGGGATCGCTGGAAAATTCCCCTGCACTGAGTCAGAGCTGCAGGAAGAGGCAATTAACATCCTACAAATCATAGCAACGAGCTAGAGAGCTATGCCGATGACCCTGAATTGAGCTTGTTCTACATGTGATAAAATTGATTTTAAGTAATAAATATCCACAAACTCATTATAGTTCTCTCCTTGGTCAGATCTGCTTACTAGTACCTCCAGTTATGTAGCCCCATGTTTTCTTCATTCCCTGAACTCTGTTGCTATAATTGTTTTACTTGCTGTTTTAAAAATATGCAATTTTACTTTGTTGGGCATAGTGATTTTGTAAACCCACACACACATAGGATATGTAGCGACATGTTCAGAGGTATTAAAACAGGTTTGCATTTTAAATCCATGTTTATCATCTTTTATGAGTGCTTAATTTATCAGTTTCTGCAGCTATCATTGTGAATTTGTTGATTGCTTTGTCAAATTCTAATGTTTTTTCTTCCTGTTTTCCCCTCATCAATGTTTATTAGGACATGTTGTAGAAACAGGCTCATTTTTATTATATTCACCTCGTGACTATTTCCTTTTATTCCAATGTAGTCTATCTTTTTATCCATATGGATACTTCTTGCTTAAATTCTACACTGACTGAAAATAATACAGCTGTATCTTGGTGGTCAACATTTGTTGTTAGAAATGTTGGCCTTGTACATTTTTCAAAATTATTTTTGATATAACTTTGTTTTCTAGATATATATTTCCTAAGAGTAAGTGCAGAATAATATCTCATTTATTTGTCCACTTTTATAATCTGTGCTTTCTTCCTACTCCAGTGATACCAAACCTATGGCACACATTATTGTTTTTCCCCTAAGATGAAAGATGTTAATGTATGAGTTCTTTTTGCTAAACCAAAACCTCAGTCTTCGGGTTGAATTGCACCGCTGGCATTTTGCAGTAAGTGAATTTTGGGTTGCAGTTTGGTCACTTGTCTCTAAAAGGTTTGCCATCATTGACCTACTCTATAGTTACTGTTATTATTTCCCTATTTTCACATATTTCAGACAGCTTGTTTACACTCATCTGCTTCCCATCATTTTGCTGCCAACAGTTAATTCAGTTTAGCAAGATGTCGAAGTCTGGAGTCCCTTCCCCCATCCTCCTGTCCTTTCTCCCCTGTGACTAGGTTTACTGCTAAGTTCATCTTTAATAATCTGGGGGCTTTTGCTAAGCATCTGCAGTGATGACTATCTTTCCAAGTTGTCTCTATCCTAATTTCAGTTTAGCAGGGTTAAAATTTTCCACAGTCACATTTCTATATCAACTTGAAGATATTGTTTTGTTTTCTTCTCTATTAATTGTTGCATAAGAAAAAAATCTACTCTCTACGAATGGTCTTGCAAATCATCTGTCTCTTCCATTTTAGAAATTTATTGTTTAATCATTTATTTACTTCTTTGTTTCAACCTGACATCCTTTTGGTATGTTTGGACATATTATTCACCTAATGCTCGGAAAACACTTTCGCATTTGAGAACATATCCATTTGGAAGGTTTTCAGTTATTCTTCAGAAATTTGTTTATCTTCTGCTGCCTCCGCTGGCTTCAGAGGAAACTCATTTTTTGTCTTTAAAAAAAATCCTTACTGTTGATCATGCCCCTTAACTGCATTTTAAAGCACTGCTAATTATTGTATGTTTGGGTGCTGCATTCTCAACTGACTCTGCAGTATTAGATTTTTATATATTAATTTTCTCATTACCTAAATTAAACTAGACTTTATTCATAATTTGTTCTTTTTTCATTGAATATATTTTTCCTTCAGAATATTCAATTGCATATTTTCATAGTCTATTCTTCTTGTTTTATTTCTTCTTGTTTTTTGTTTTATAATATTGCTATTTTTATAGAAAAATCATTCCTTCTTTTATGACTTCAAATTTTTGCTTGTTTCTTCTTTTGTTTTTTGAGACAGGGTCTTGGCTAGTCCTGCCTGCTCTTGAACTTGCTATGTAGCTCAGGCTGTGTTTTAAGTAATGATCCTTCTGTCTCAGTCTCCTAAGAGCTGGGATAACAGGCGAACGCCACCACACCTGCTCAGGTGTCTTACACACTTTTGTATAATCTTTGTCAGGCTTGTGCATGAAATTAATTTTCTTTCCAATGAATCACAAGCCAAGGATCATGTCTTGTATCTATATTTTCACTGCATAACACACCTTAGGCACTTAGTAGAGATCTAGGAAATCATTTAGTATATGAATTGTTGAATTTTTGTATAATCAGAAATATGGAAATTTTTTTATTTTCAAGATTATAAACTTCAGTACTACTGTTGTGCAGTGAGAGAACTGATTCAGGAAAAAATTCACTTTTCTTGAAGTTGACCTAGGTCTACACTACAGAGCCACTGTGGAAATCGCTCAGGTTATATAACATCTCTCTTGCCTCTCTTATTATTGCATTCCGTTTCAAGATATTCCTTTTTCCATGCAGTCATTCATTTTATTCCTGCATATCTGTATGCAAGCCTGCATTTGCTGGATTTTCCTCTTGGACATGCGCAGATTAATCGAATCAATCATCTGGAATAATTCTCCACATAAGATCACATTTCATAAATTCAATCCAGATAATGTGTTTATTACTTTATAATAAACTTCTTGTTAAAATCAGCAAGAACAATTTTAATTATATTGTAATTAATTTGTTCAGTTATTTTAATAAACTTGTTTAATAGTGACTAAGGAAAATGGCAAGATCCATCACAGATTTTCAAGTTCTCTTCTATTCAATCTTGAAGATATTATTTAAACACCAAGGTTTTAAAGTATTTATGATTAAATATGCTTAGTGTCTTCTGTAACAGAAAGGATGTGGATTTTGCATTTAATATCTAAGCAAATTAATGATGTAGCCAGAAAGCATAGCAGGCTATAGTGGGCTATAAAAAAAAAAAACAATTTGACTAGTTTGTGCAAATACTTAAAAGTTTTATGAATTAAATTTCAGACAAATTCCGCATGACAAGGCAACTTCCTCACATACAACAGCTCTATTAAATTTGATGTACAGATAGGCAATTAAAAAATTCAAATTAAGAAATTCAGGCTCATGGGTCTAAATAAGCTGATTTTCTAATTTGCTTTTTTCTTTGAAAGTGGTTTCCTTGAATTAAATATGCCAGCAGTTATAAAGCTCTTTCTCACTATCTGTTACCCACTGATAGTTTTTGCATCTGCAATGATCCATGTTCCTTCTTTAAAGGAAATATAGCTCACTAGGGTGGTGGTGAACAAAAGTACTGCAGAGAAACAGACCTGGGTTTCTACCCAAGCATAGATGTGGACTAGGTATGTGTAACTGTATAGGATATACCACCCTCATATGTCTCTGAAGCTGGGGTAAGAATATGTACCCCATAGATGCTTTTTTGAAGAGATCATGAGATAATGTACTGCAAAGTGTTCGGTTAAGTATTACCTAGCTTTCCTGAGTGTTATTTCTGCTTTTACACATACATGCACAGATACCCTTGGGTCGATTTGTATTTCTAAAATATGTATGCTGTTAGTAGTGATGATTATTTAAAATATCTTGTCTTACTGTCCCTTTAAGAACTTCTTCAGAGAAGAACTATGCAACAGTGTAGGTTGGAAGTTTGAATAACATAAAGGCTAAAATCTTGAACAGGATAGCACAATTAACTAACATAAACTCATTAAGGTCTGATTTCCTCATTCTTACAGTAGAAAAGATAATGGAACTATGTAAGTTGCTGAGTGAATTAGTGGATATAAAGGGTTATCCCAGTGTGTAGGACATATTAAGTACTCGGTCAATATAACCTTCTATAATGATAGCCATTCTTATACCGTGTGCTTTGGGAAATGTCTATGGAAAGATTCATTTTAGCAAAGTATGGTGTTAGAGCTAATACTTTGGCAAATGTCTTTAATACTGTGACATTCAACTGTGAAAACCAATTATTATGCAATTAGGAACATCCCCAATTAGGGAAAGACTGGGTCATGTTTTTCAAACATTCAGCAATATTTTCTGCCAATCCCATCTGTGATATAAATTAGAGAGACCCCGGTTAACAGTTGTTTAAATTATTTTCCTAACGCTGGCATCCATTTCCTTCGAGACATGCATCAGAGACTTGTGATAACATCTTTCAGGTAGTATCAGAATAGGACCAATGTGTAACCAGTATATTTGTACATTTCATTTGTAGACATCATGGCATTTGCTTTGCATTCTGTCTTTAAGCTTCTTTGTTACATACAAATACTTAAGAAAATACATAGCTTTTTAAATGCTATAACCATAAGGACTGAGCATGTGGAAAGGAAACAATTAGAAAAAAACCACTATATATTTGACTATTTATCAATTCAGTCTAAGAAGTTTATCTTAAAATTAAAGTTTACATTTAAATAAAAATGACTGAATTAAAAAAAATAAAGAAAATAGATAAATGATGTGATGGAAATTTTTGGTAAAATAAAAATGAGATGATAGAAAAATTTATTATGTATATTTAAGGGGGAGCATTCTTTTCATAATAAGATAAGTGGCATGTGATTCATGTCATACACTCATTTTTAGTAAAGTTAAAGTGAGATTTAAAAAGTCCAAATAGTCTCAGATCTCTTGTTTTCCATTTAAGTTCAAGCAAGATAAAGTATGATGATAGAAAAATAGAAGAAATAAAAATACTTAACCTTATACTGCAATTTTTCAGTTTTACATAAATTATTTCATTTCTCTGGATATTTACCCTCATCTAAAGAACTGAGGCTTGGAGAGGTGGCTTGGCCAACTGGTAAATGTCTGATTGAAAATACAAATTCAGGTCCTCTGAATACAAGTACTATATAAAGACCTTCATTCACAATTGCCTGACCAAAATGAAAACCAAGATATGAACTATGTGTTTAGATCACGTAAAGATGCTTCTCTGTGCTAAAATTGTCAGACTGATAACATTATTTACCTAAAGTGCTAAAAGCAAGAGAAGTGACTGAAGGGTCCTAAAGGGCATTTAAAGGTCCAATAGTCAACGTAGCACCTTTTGGCTTCAGTTATTTATCATAAATTCATAGTCTTTAATATAATTCAATGGTTATAAAATTTTTTATCTTGAATGAACAATAAATTAAACAAAAGGATTGTAAAAAGACAGTATTTGCAACATTTCAAACTTTGAAAAAAATAAC